CTTTGAGCAGAAGGCAACTGGTACCAGCAACTGGGGGGGGGGGGCTGCACGGTTCTGCCAGAACTGGAGGAAGAGGCTGGGTTCCTTTAATGCCCCTCTGTGATACAATGGGCCCACGAAGCTCAGTAAGGGGCAGTGCCTTAAGGAAAGGAGGTCGGCGGGAACTGCTCCCAGCACACGGTTGGCTGGGCCGAGCTCCAGGTGTGGCTCACGTCCCTAATGTCCCTAACGGCGAGTCCTTGGCATCCGAACAGACACGAGAGGGCAGTGGGCGCCTGCCCTGGGCTGTGTAGGCAGGGGCCGCTGTAACAGCCACCAGAGGCTGGCCATTCCTCGGCGCTCTGAGGTCCCGGCGGCATCCCAATGGCGTTAGTTTTTTTCTTTTCCTTTTAAATTTTTATTTACACATTTCTTTCATGAGTGAGAAAGACAGCGTCCCTGCAATCTTGACACTGATCCCCGCAGCATTAGCCAGCCCCGCGTCACAGACACATACACGCCTGACGTCCCCAGGTCTCCGACACTAGCTCCCTCGTGGCTCAGCCGAGCAGAGCGTTGGGTTTTGCTGCCGTGCCACATCTGGCCCTGGCGTTAGATTTTGACAGGGCCCCCGCAGTAATCAGAGGTAGCCATGACCAAGACATCCCGTCCGCGTATCGACTAGCAGCAGCGCCATCCGGGTGGCTCCTGCTGGCGTCCTCCTGGGGCTTGCCCGTGCAGGGGCTGGCGGACTTCATTAATCCACTTCTAAGCCAGCAGTTTATGCCCCTAGGCGGAAGTGGACCTGTCTTCTCCTGGTAATGAGAAATTCATTTCTGCCTAAGTAGGGCAGCCCTATAGAGGCTAATCCTCGCACACAAGACAGAGTCTTGGCAAGCGTGTGGGTTGACTTCTTAAGCTCCAGCCAGGTAGGGACTTGAAGAAGCAGGAGGAGGGCATGGGGGCTTTGCCCTATTGCACAGAGGGGGATATGCATGTCATGCGAAAAATGTTAAAGGCATTAAGATAGAAAACTATTTAAGGCATCTTTTAGTAGAAATATGGGCAAATTTAGAATAGCTGGGGGGGATCCAAAGGCAGCAGATCCAGACTTGGACAGGCGGAGGAGGCAGACGCTGCAGGGCCCACCCCTGACCCCGTGGGGCTGGATTGTTAACACCTCCCAGGCAGGGCTGCTGGTGCGGGAGAGGCACGGCTGCTCCAGGGACATTTGGGGGAATAAAAGGTCTCTGATTCCCTGCGGTTTAGCATCTAGGGAGGTAACACACCGTCACAGCAGCAGAGCAGTCCCCAAGAGCCCGAGGGCTTCCCCGGTAGGCGGGATGCAGGCCCTGCCCCTGTGGCGCAGCTTCGTAGCCCCTGCTTTCTCTCCATGAACGATGTTAAGTGCTGTGTGAGCTGGGAGTGCATCCCCTCTCCTCTCTGTCCCACCCCCAGGTCTTCCCTCCATTCAGGCTAATGCCCAGGAAGGTGACGCTGATCATTGGGGCCGTGATGCAGGTAAGAACCAGGAGGCCACGTCCTCTCCCCTCCCCACCCACAGGCCCCCCCACCTGCAGGGTCTGCGTCACAGCTCCATGGCAGCGGGGTGCAGGCGGAGGGCTTGGCCAGGGGCCTTCCAAAGGGAAGGCGCTACTGCCAGGATGGCGGGCAGGGGCAAGCGTGCGTCTCTCTCCTCAGATCACGTCGGAGGGCGGCCCCCAGCCCCAGTCCAACATCCTATACTCCATCAGCAACGAGAGCGTCGCGGACGTGAGCGCCGCGGGGCTGGTACAGGGACTCGCCGTGGGCAATGGCACCGTGTCAGGGGTCGTGCGGGCGGTGGACGCGGAGACCGGCAAGATCGTCATCGTCTCCCAGGTAACGGGCGTGGCATGGAGACGGTTATCTGTCCACACTGGGCTGGGCCCTTGTAGTGACGGCCTCTGCCCTCGGGGCAGCTAGCTCTAGTGCCGCCGGGTGGGACCCTGTCCCAGGCTTGGGGTCGGCCTCTCGAGGGCCACTTCCTGCATGGATCTGGCTCCTCCCTCTGGACCCGCGGCCCCTGCCTGTTTCCCTGGCCCGGATGGCCCTGCCAGACTCCATGAGGGGGCTCTTCTCTGGGCCAACTCTTCCCGGTTCTCGCAGCTGCTCCTCTGGGACGGGGTCGCCAACACCCACCCCACAACATTCACCTGTCAGCGTATGTCCATGGCGACTGCGGCTGCTCCGAGCCCTCGTGGCTCCCCGTGCATTTCACTACTGCTTTCCCCATTTGCAGGCGTCCACGGCACTAGCCAGCAGCCCGTGGCCGCCAGGTGGCAGTGCTGGCACCTAGATGCATGAGCCCGAGCATCAGAGTGCTTGTCCTTCTGCTTGTCCATCAAGCAGGGCTTCCCCCCACCCCGGGACGTGGTGATAAGGAGAGGGGGTACTGTGGGCGAGGCTCGTGGGTGACTGAGTCTCCGCAGGCATGCTCTGTGCCGTCAGCCAGGGTCACTGGAGACCAGTAGTGTTTCACCCCTGAACTTGTGTTCCTAGGGGAGAAAGAAAGCTTGTGCTATCTGCAGGTGCCTTTCGGTCACTCAGGTCATCATCCAAGCCTCTTTGCCAGGGTGGGCCATTCCCTAATTACTTTTCTGGGCCCGCAGAGAAGCTAGGCGAGTGAGGTAGGGGCGTCCTCTCCCGGGAGGGTCTTCCTTCTCACATCAGCAGGACTGGCTCCAAGCCGGTGAATGTTGGTGTTCTGTGCATCTGACGGTTGCACTTCTCACTGGGGGTGAGAGCTCTTTGGTCTGGAAAGGGACAGGAAGATCCCTCCCAGCTCCTGAGAAGGGCCCAGGACAGAGAATCGCAAGGCAGGGCTCCTCCCTGCCACTTTTCGCCTGCGCTGATTCGCAGAAGCACCTCGTTATGCGAGGGCCCCGCCCACAGCTACACCCACAACCTGCCCTGTACGTGGGGCGGGGCGTTTTTCCAGTCAGGAGTTCTTCAAGTCAGGCGACTTTGCATAGGCACCTTTCAGAGCTCAACCATTTGTGTTCCTCATCTGGAATCGGGTCCCCTAGGAGCCGTCCTGTGAGTCCGGCATCTCCACCCGTGTGGGGTGGCTGGCGAGTGTGCCCTAGAAGGGGCCTGGACAGTGCTGTCTGAGGCTGGCTGTGGTCTGAGTGGAGCTCACTGGCTTACTCCTTCACCCAGGAGATTCAGCGTCTGCCTCCTGGTGACCCAGTGACCCAGAGTCTCCATAAATTGTGGAGGTGGATGCCCTGGTTTTGTGTACCGAGAGTCTTTAGTGACAATAAAAAGCACCGGGAATGTGGCCATTGGCCTGGAGCACCGCAGGGTTCAGATAGACGTCCTCGGGAACAAAATGCAGGGTCTCGGGCCCTTCTTTTTATTTCTCGAAAGAAAGGATTGCGACCTTGGGAACTGGCTCGTTTTCATCCTCCCAGGGGCCCACGTGGCTGCAAGGACAGCTAGAAATTCAGCCTGGGCGCCATGCAGCCCTGTGTCCCCTGCCCGCTGCTCCTGCTGGCTGGGCTCTGACCTTGCGGACCCTTCCTCTGAGGCCAGTGAAGGCACAGAGCTGAGAGAGGGGCAGTGCCTCCAGCACCGTCAGAAGGTGTCTTCTTTTTCTTTCTTTCTTTTTTTTTTTTTCTTTTTTTTTGGAGAGGTTTTTGCTATAGGGCATGTGGGCTCGCCAGAAAGACAGAGACAGAGAGAGACAGAAAGCGAGCAATTACTCCCCACCCACCCAGGGTGGATGGCCACGCCGCAATCCCTTCTCCTCCATTCTCCTCTCGGGATCTTGGGCATGCACGTACATGCGCCCAGCGTGAGTTTAAGCTTCCGGGTCCGGGATGCAAACCGTGGTCAACTACATGGGAGTCCAGCGACATAGCCATTACACTAACTGCTGGTCCCCAAAAGGTGTCTTCTTGAGCCGAGGCAGGCAGGGCCTTGACTGAGTCCTCAGTGGCCACACCAAGCGTGGGCTTCTGCCCGGGTCCTCCCAGCCGCACCGGCCTAGTCCGGTCACAGTCAGCACCCACGGTCCCCTGCGGTGCTGGCTGACAGGTGGCAGGACTGGCAGACGGAACAGTGGGAGTGGAGGGCAGGAAGGGGACAAGGCTGCGGGACACCTGCTGCATCCTCGGCCTCAGCCCGAATGCCAGGCACAGGGGCTGGGCTCTGAACGGGCGGAGGCCACAGGGTTCCAAGTTTCATCAGCAGGAGTCAAGAGCATGACAAAAAAGCCAGTGATGCCAGCCTTCGGCCATGTTTATCAGAGATTAGAGTTAGGAATAGAGGAGGGCTCAACACCTGCTCCACCCAAGCTCTGCCTGGCTCCTGCATTTATCCCTGCACCCGGCTCAGCCAGAATGGTGGGCTAGATTCGAGGCAGGGAGAGAGTGAGACCTGTCCTGTAAGGGCAGCCCAGCCTCTGGTAGAAAAGACCTCAGTCGCTACCCTGCAGGGCCGGCCTTGGGCAGCTGGATCAGGGGTGTCCACCGGCTCCCAGGACAGGCTGGATGTGGGAGAGGTAGTGGTTGCCCCATGTAGGGCACCCCTCAAAGCTGGGCCTCCCTGGGCAGGAGAGCTCGGTGCTGGACACCCAGAGAGCACCTGTCAGCCCCCCCGACTGTGAGAGAGCCTTCTCCCGAGGCCTCCCAGCAGCACGGAGTCTCTGCCCCTTCCAGCCTGAGCCCCAAAGCTCTTTCTTAGGACCTCGTGGAGGTGGAGGTGCTGCAACTCCAAGCAGTGAGGATCCACGCCCCCATCACACGGATGAGGACAGGGACCCAGGTGAGGTGGGACCCCTGAGCTGCCGCTGCTCTCCTGCAGCCTGGGTCCTGGCTGGGGGTGGGCCGCTGCTGGGACACTTCCCCTTTCCTTCCTCTCCTTGGCCCCTGTTTAACCCTGGGCGTGGCCCACGCTGCGCCCACCTGCCTGAGATCACCCTGCTGCTGGCGAGTGCTGGCCCTGGGTGGACTGGCAGCCTGGCGAGGCATCTGCTTCTACCCTTGCCCGTGGCCTTGCCCGTGGCCTGCACCTGTGCCCTCTGGCAGTGCCCAGTGGTACAGAGGGAAAGGGCCAGTGGATCCCACCTGTGCCCTCCCCACATGAGCAGGGAGCCCTCTAGGTGGGGAGGAAGAGGCAGAAGGCCCACAGGCAGCCCGGAGCTCCAGACCACGAGGAGGCACCACCCACAGGCTGGGGAGGGCTACTCCTGCCTCTGGTTTGATTGTTAAGGATATTTCACGAGCCCGTGCCAGGCCCTTTTCTGCTGAGAGGAGGACTGGGCCCAGCGCCCCTGCACAGGGGCAGGATAGGTTCCTGCCTGTTCCCAGCTCTGGGACCTGGAAGTCACGGGGCCTGGCTTCTCCCCCCAGATGCCCGTCTATGTCACTGGGATCACCAACAACCAGAGCCCGTTCTCCTTTGGCAATGCCGTGCCAGGCCTGACCTTCCACTGGTCTGTCACCAAGCGGGACATCCTGGACCTCCGAGGGCGGCACCATGAGGTGAGCAGCCCACCAGAATCGCCTGCCTCCTTCCCCAGGCCAGCACCCCGGGATGACAGGAGGGTTCCTGCCACATCATCTCATGGGTCCTGGCCCCTTCCTGTTTTCTCCCCAGCTCATGGGGACGTCCTTCTCCCGAGCATTGCCTGCTACGGGCAGGGTTAGTCAGAACCCTCCTGTCAGGCGGCAGCAAATTGGGCAGCCTTGTGGGGATGTCATGAAAGATCTAGAATGCCACAGGGCTTAGTCTGTAGCTCCTGAGCAGCCCTGGGATGTTCTCCTGTTTTAATCCAGAGGCCCAGCGCGCCTCACCCTACTCAGGGGCCCTGGTCCCTCCCGGGGTCTCAGAGCTGGAAGGTGCCGTAGGAACCCACTAAACCCTGCCGTGTGTCAGCTGCAGTCTAGAAGCGGAAGGGGCTTCCCCGGGGTTGCCTAGGACTGGGTGCTGGCCCCTGTGGCCCCACCAAGGTGGGCCTTGGTCACGGGCTGCATGTGGTTGTAAAGGTCACCCCTTGCCTTGTCCATGGGCAGTGGACTGGACCCCAGGAGAGGGCCAGGCATGGGGATGGGGTCTCCCAGCTGCTGCTGCCAGTCTGCCTCATGGGGGAAGAAGCTTCCCTCTCCCTGCCTGATGGGGCAGGAGGCTTCTCCCCAGTGCCTGGGGCTCCCCTAGACTGTTCATGGGAACAAACATCTAGTCTTCTCAGGAAGACGTAAACTGTTCCTAGTCCAAACACGTGCTTAGTCAGGGACAAGGAGGCAGCGCTTCAGAGAGAGGTACCTGTGTGTCGGCTCCTTCATCCCTGCCTGCACATGCAAATGCCTATGGAGGTGTACACACGCACACAGACGCACAGACACGCACACACATGCTCACAGACACGCACACACATGCTCACAGACATGCACACACACAGACACGCACACACAGAGACACATGCACACACACTCACAGACACACACACAGACACACAGAGACATGCACACAGACACGCATGCACACACACAGATGCACAGACACGCACACAGACACACTCACACAGACATGCAGAGAGACAGACACAGACATACACAGACACACGCACAACACACAGACACACACTCAGACACATGCACACACACAGACACTCAGATACATGCACAGACACACACTCAGACACACACACAGACACATAGACACACACAGACACACTCACAGGCATGCACAGACACACACACAGACACATGCACACACACAGACACACGCACAGACACACTCAGACACACACACACAGACACATAGACACACAGACACACTCACAGGCATGCACAGACACGCACACAGACACATGCACAGACACGCACACACTCAGGCAGTGGAGCTTGCCAACACCTATCCCGTAACAGCAGGCTTTGTGAGAAATGGCTGTGAAGTTTAGCACCCCCTGGTGATTCAGGAGCCCTCACGCTAAAGGAGCTGAACTGGCCTGCCCCGAGGACCCCTGGCTCCCGCGGATCGAGCCAGCCTTTTTAAACACACCTGTGACATCATGAAACAGCCCAGCCCGTGCTGGGGGGACTGGTGTTAGCTGACCCGCCCAAGGAGGCAGGCAGGGCTTCTCAGAACAGGCAGGCAGCCGGGGAGTCGGGGCATCGGCCTTCTGGGGAGCCCCGGCCCCTGGAACACGCTTGGTGTCTCTGCTAGGCGTCCGTCCAGCTCCCGTTGCAGTACAACTTTGCCATGAACGTGCACGGTCGGGTCAAAGGCCGCACCGGACTGCGAGTGGTGGTCAAGGCTCTGGACCCCACAGCGGGGCAGCTCCATGGCCTCGCCAGAGAACTCTCAGATGAGATCCAAGTCCAGGTAAGGGTGGGTGGACAGAAGCTTCGTGGGTGAGGGAGAGTGAGTGTGGCAGGCCTCCCAGGTACCGCTCGGTCCTGCTGACCCGGGGCTGGGTCGGGGCTGAAGCAGGACCTTCTCTTCCGGGAGGAGCTCTCCGTCTGCTGGGGGGGCCAGATGTGTGGGAATGTCGGGGACAGGGGTGGGGCTGGCAGTGAATGAGGGCCTGGCCAAAGGCTCTGCAGAGGCGTGACATTTCTGTGGAAGGGATGGCCTACGCAAAGACCTGAAATAACTTGATGTTTCAAAAATAGCAGATAAATCCGAGCTCAGGGTCTGGAGTACACTTTCACAGTGGGAAGAAGCTGGAGCTCACTCTGATCTGGGTCATTGATTTAATTACCCGTGTTCGTGTAATGAGCACTCCGCGCACAGTAGAGGCAGGTGTGCTCTTCCACCCCTCCTGGTGCTGACTCACCCAGTCCTCCTCCGAAGCCTGCAGGGCAGGGCTGCCACCTGCTGGTGAACCTGAGTCCCACGGAGGTCGGGGTCAGTCAGTGAGTGGGAACTGGCCTCGAAGGCCTACGGGTGGGTGATGCTGTACCAGCCTGCCAACTTAGCAGACGAGGCTCAGCGAGTCAGGGCACCCATCAGCGCGACCGAGTCCAGACCCAGAGCCCAGCGGTTGTGCCCAGGGTCCGTCCCCGCATTTCTTCCAGCTCGCCCCTTCCATTTGCGGGACAGGACTTTGGACAAGCCCCTCCCCCCTCAGCCTTTCCGTAAACCCCTGGGAAGGTGACACATGGCTCTGAAGAGCTTTTTGTATCTGCAGGGGCAAAGAAAAAGGGAAAGCACCCCAGAATATCATGAGGAAGGAAACAGCTGGTCTTCTCCTCAGGAAGGAGTAAACCGTTCCTAGTCCTAACACGTGCTTCAAAGAGAAACGTGCCTGTGTGTTGTCTTCATCCCTGCCTGCACGTGCAAATGCGTACGGAGGTGTACAGACGCACAGACACGCACACTCAGAGACACATGCACACACACTCACAGACACACACGCACACACAGACACGCACACACAGAGAGACACATGCACACACTCACAGACACACGCACGGACACGCACACACACACACAGAGAAATACATGCGGAGACACATACAGAAATACACAGAGGGAAATACGCACACACACAGCACCCAGACATGCACACACACAGAGAAAAACACACACAGGCATACACACACAGAGAAACACGCATGCAGACACACAGGCACATGCACACAGACACACATATGGAGACACACAGACACACACACAAAGACACGCACACAGACACACGCACAGTCATGCACACACATGCACAAAGACACACACATAGAAACACACAGGCACACAGGCATGCACACAGAGACACGCATGCACACAGACACACAGAAACACACAAAGACACACGCACACAGACACACACACAGAGAGGCACACACAGACACAGACATGCACACACACAGACACACAGAGAGACACATGCACAGATACACACACAGACACATCCACAGGCACGTACACACACAGATACGCACACAGACACAAGCACACAGAGACACGCACAGACACATGCACACAGACACACACACACAGACTCACGCACACAGACACAAATATGCACCCTCACACAAACACGTTTTCCTGATTAAACACAGCTCTGCCACACTGCAGAGTCACAGGCAGACCCACTAAGATCCGCTGGCCAGCTCTGACCTTGGTGGTCACTGAACGTCTCTGTGCGCCGTCTCTCTACTAACAGCAGTGGAGTCTGAGGGAGTCGGAGACCTGAAAGGCTGGACCTGCCCACCCACGTGTTTGGTTGGGTTCACTCAGGCCTTTGAGACAATTTTTATTTATTGCCAACATTTAAAAATAGGAAGGTTCTGGGGGCCAGCAGGTGGCGTGGTGGTGAAAGGCACTGGGCTCCACGTGGCAAATGTGGTTCAAGTCTCGGACCTTGCTCTTTATCACTCTCTCTCTCTCTCTCTCTGGTCAAATTGGAAAGTAATAATAATAAATATAGGTAAATAAGATCATTTTTTTTAAAAAAAAGGGAAAGATTCTGTATAAAAACCCAAGACACAACATCTTGCCACAAGGCACATGACAAGAGCCAAGAAGCAGCCATCCCCTTATTAGAACCGTACTCTCTGGGCCAGCAGTTAGCGTAATGGCTGTGTCGCTGGACTCCCACGTAGTCGACCGCAGTTCAAATCCCGGACCCAGCGGCTTAAACTCACACCAGGCGCATGTGTGTGCGTGCCCAAGATCCCGAGAGGAGAATGGAGGAAAAGGGATTGCGGCGTGGCCATCCCCCCTGGGGGGTGATTTCTCACTTTCTGTCTCTCTGTCTCTCTCTGTCTTTCTGGCAAGCGCACGCGCCCTATAGCAAAAACTTCTTAAAAAATAAAAACAAAAACGAACTCCCTAGTTTGCCTCAGGCCCACCATGCCCTGTTGCCTCCTTGATGGCGAGGTGGTCATCAGTTGCCATGTACCGTGATGTTGGCAGTGTTGTTTTTCTCATAGTGAACAGGCAAGTGAGAAGTGAGATGTCTCTTTTAGTTCGCCTCCACGCAGTGAGAAAGGACAAGGAGTACGTGTTTTAAGAAAGACTAGAGGGAACGGAGCTGAGGACATTCGCTGCGCTGTGTGTCTGTCACAATCCGAGGCTGCCTCACTCTGGGTGCTGCCCAGACTCACGGGACACTACCTCCCCGTCCAGCTCCCAGACTCCTCTCATTCAGTTCAGGAAGTCTTTCCCTTGTCACCCGAACCCCACAGTTCTTTGAGACAGACGTGCTAAGGGTTAGTATACTAGCTTCAGACCCATTTTACAGATGAGGCCATGTAGGCTCACGGGTGTAGGCAGAGCACCCTGGTATCGGGAAGGAGGGGACTCAGGCCAGTGTCTCCTTAGAACATCACCCGTCGGTTCAGATGTTCTCAGACGTGGGTCCAGCTGCCCTGATCACCAGGGAACTGGGGAGCTGGTCACTGGAGCAGCCGTGAAGGGGATGCTCTGCCAGGCTGACCCACGTGGAAAGGTGCTGGGTTCACATCCAGAAAGCTCCCTGAGTGTTCCTGGCGCACGTGTGTACCATGAGCCTGGCTGGCTGAAGCAGGGGAGATCAGGGTGTTAAGACCCTGTCCTTTGGGACCAGCAGTTAGTGTAATGGCTATGTCGCTGGACTTCCACGTAGTCGACCACGGTTCGAGTCCCAGACCCGGTGGCTTAAACTCATGCCAGCCGCGTGTGCGTGCGTGCCCAAGATCCCGAGAGGAGAATGGGGGAGAAAGGATTGTGGTGTGGCCATCCGCCCTGGGGGGGTGATTTCTCGCTTTCTGTCTCTCTGTCTCTCTCTGTCTGGCTGGCGAGCACACGCACCCTATGGCAAAAACTTCTCCAAAAAAAGAAAGAAAGGAAGAAAAAACAACGCTGTCCTTTAAGCTGTCTCTGTTTTTGCCTCCCTTGCTCATGGAAGAAAGAAAGAAAAGTAAACCACCAAAGCCAGTGGGGAGCCCAAAGCGCAGCTGTAAGGAACTGCGAGCACGTGACTGCCCCAAGCCAGATGGCAAGGCCAAGGAACCCAGAGAAAGGGGGTTAGACGAGGAATGGACCTTCAGGAGGCTGCAGAGAAGGGGTGCTGCTGCAGCAGCCTCTGGGAGCGCTGAAGCGTGAATGTTTATTGTCTGTTGGGCTCGGTGTCCGCAGGGATCCTGCAAGGGCATGGGACAGACTTTATCCCTGCTGCCTCCAGGTGCTCACTGGAGGAGAGAAGCTTCCAATACATACCACGGAAATACTTCCCAGGTGTTTGAAAAGCTGCTGCTGCTGCACCCTGAAATAGAAGCAGAGCAAATCCTAATGTCACCCAATTCATTCCTGAAGCTCCAGACAAACAGGTGCGTGACTGCTCTCGGCCCGTCTTCCCAGCCGGGGTGTGGCGCCCCGTCCGTGTCTGACGACCCGTGGTCAGGAGCTGCTCCTGTGCTGCGCACCGTTCTTGGCGTTGGGCTTGAATGGGCCTGTCCCAGCATGCCTTGCTCCTCTGCATCACTGCTCCCGTGGGAATCTGTTCTGTCCCTGCAGCTGAGAACCTCTCCCATGCTTGCTGCAGAAATTCAGTATTTAAAAGGGGAGGAAAGTGCCAACCTGGAAAAAAATGTTTATTTTATATTATTATTATTATTTTAGAGAGATTTTTGCATTAAGGCACATGTGCTCACCAGACAGACAGAAAGAGACAGAGACGTGGAAGCGAGAAATCAACCCCCACCTCAGGGGGATGGCCATGCCGCAATCCCTTCTTGTTCTCCTCTCGGGATTTGGGGCATACACGCACACGCGCTGGGCATGAGCTTTAAGCTGCCAGGTCTGGGACTAGAACCACGTCAACTACATGGGAGTCCAGCGACATAATGTGTACATATATGTGTGTATATATAATGTATGTGTGTGTGTACACATATATGCGCCATCTGCTGGTCCGGGGAGAAACTTTTCAAAGCATCCATGCTTTCAATACTTGCCATTCTGCATGTAGTCCATGAACCAGTGGCACCAGGGAACTGGGAACAGGTTCAATTGCATATCTCAGGCCCCACTTCAGACCTGCAGGAGAAGCTGCCTCTGAAAAGCCCCTCGGCCACTGGGAATGCGTCTTACTGGCTGAGGAGCTTGTCCAGTAAATGATTCCTGCATTTACCTCAAAGGGGCGTTTTCTAACAACTACTTGCACTTGAAAGGCTGGGGCCAAGTGGGGCTCCAAGGGCCGCAGGAGCACCTACCGTCTGTGGGAGGCGCGGGCATCCGCACATTCACAGCCGGCCAGGAAGCAACTCAGTGCCAGGCCCTGCGCCAGCCTCCAGGCCAGATGAACGGCATTTGACAGAGCCAGTCCCACAGCCTAGTGGTTAAGTGTGTGCACACACACACGTGTATGTATGTGTGTATAATGTGTATGTGTACTATATATGTGTATATATTATATATCTGTGCATATATGTGTGTGTAAAATATATGTGTGTGGTGTGTGTATAACATGTGTGTGCATGTGTGTATATAGGTATGTGAGTATATGTGTGTGATATATTATACATGTGTGCGTATGATATATTTGTGTGTTTAAGTATAGATAACATGTGTAATGTGTATATATAACATGTGTGCATGTAATACATGTGTGTGATATGTACGTGTATGTGTGTTTGTGTATGTGTGTATATTGTGTGTGAATTATATGTGTCTATAATGTGTGTTTATATGATGTATGTGTATATGCGATGTGTGTATATGATGTATATGTGTGTGCAATGTATGTGTGTATAATATGCGTGTGTATATAACGTGTGTATATAATGCCTGTACATATGTAAGTATATGTGTATATATAATATATGCCTGTGTATATGTGTGTATATAATATGTGTATAATATATGTGTGTGCGTATATGTGTGTATATATAATGTGTGTGTATATATGTACAGACACATATACAATACATGTGTGTGTGTGCCTTTACCCTACTGTGAGCCCTTGGAAATAGGACGGGGCAGGAGCATCGCTCCCCTTTTGTCGCCGAGAACATCAAGGCTGAGAGTGGGAACATGAGACGCACAAGGCAGAGAGAGTCGAGAGTCGAGATCAGCCTTGGATCTGTCCGACACAAAGCCCCAACTCCCGCCAACACACCAGTCTGCAAATTGCTCTCAATAATAATCTTTTACAACCACGGCCCTTGCAGTTGATGAAAGAAACCTGGTCCTCGTGGCCTCCCCTCGGCCCCTGCCAGCCGACCAGTTGGTTCTGCTCTGGGAAGACCAGAGACCATGCTCTCCTCTCCCAGGAGCAGTCGAGAACTGTGGGTCCTGTGGCTCTGAACCCCAGGCCCCTCGCTGTGACCTACTCCCTCCACCGCCGTGTAAGAAGACAAGTCCGCTTTATTTTTCCGAAGGGACACCGCGGCCTCTCTGAGCTACCGCGTCCTAGACGGGCCCGAGAAGGTTCCTGTGGTGCACATTGATGAAAAGGGCTTCCTGGTGTCGGGGTCTGTGATCGGGACGTCCACAGTGGAAGTGACTGCCCAGGAGCCTTTCGGGGCCAATCAGACCGTCATCGTGGCTGTAAAGGTAGGCTCGTAGTCCCTTCCTGTGGGAGAGGTAAATGCAGTTGCACAGGGGTAGTGCTTTTTCCTGTCTTAGGTGTGAAAGTTAATGCAGTCACCTTCCAGTGGGAACAGTGTAGGTAGGGATTTAGAAATAACTCAGGGGCGTCCAGAGCCAGAGATCCTTAGAAATGATTGATTCCAGTAACCTTAATCAAATATGGGGAAACAGACCCTGTGAAGCCCTGTGGCCTAAAGTCACAGAGGCGGGGTTGGCACAAGACGAGTGTGCTGAATGGCATGCCAGTGCTCCCTGCTGTCCCTGACCTCTCGTGTCACCAGCATGGGCAGTGGGGAAGCGTCACGATGCCGTCCTCTCTCCTCCGCTTCTCCACCCTGTTAGGGTTTAAGCACTCACGTACACTCACTGGTTTGTTTTTCAAGCCATCAGGGCCAGGATTTTTCTTTTTCTTTTTTTTTTGGAGAGGTTTTCGCTATAGGGCGCGTGCGCTCGCCAGACAGAGAGAGAGACAGAGAGACAGAAAGCGAGAAATCACCCCCCAGGGGGGATGGTCACGCCGCAATCCCTTCTCCTCCATTCTCCTCTCGGGATCTTGGGCACGCACGCACACGCACCAGGCGTGAGTTTTAAGCCACCGGGTCCAGGACGCGAACCACGGTCAACTACGTGGGAGTCCAGCGACATAGCCATTACACTAACTGCTGGTCTCTTTTTCTTTTAATTTATTTTATACATTCAATTACTAGAGCCAGGATTTGAAACATGGTCAGCCGTGGGGGACCTGGCTTCCTTAACCACTAGCCTAGGTTGTTTCTTTTTCTTTTTCTTTTTTTTAAGTTTATTCATTTATTCTTTTTTTTTTTTTTTTTTATGAGAGAGACAAACAGAGAGAGCACCTCCAACAGGGTCCAGATACCACAAGCACCTCTGTTCCCAGCCAGCCCCAGTGCACCGAGCATGCTCAGGGAGATCCCAGGCGTAAACCCAAGACCTCTCCCGTAGCCTGGCTGCAGCACCACTCCACCTCCCGCCCCAGGGTGGGTTTTCTTTACTGAGGCCAGCTGCTGTGGAGGGAGGTGGGAGCTGTGTTATTAGTCAGGATGTGCTAGGGAGTAAGGCCTTTCCCCTTCACGACCCTCAAGTCAGGTTAGCCCCGGAGTTCCTGAGATGGGGACCTGTTAGGAAAAGTGTCTCCATGGGACCAGCAGTTAGCGTAATGGCTATGTCGCTGGACTCCCATGTAGTCGACCACAGTTCAAGTCCCGGACCCAGTGGCTTAAACTCACACCGGGCACGTGTGCGTGCGTGCCCAAGATCCCAAGAGGAGAATGGAGGAGAAGGGATTGCAGCGTGGCCATCCCCCCAGGGGGTGATTTCTCTCTTTCTATCTCTCTGTCTCTGTCTTTCTGGCGAGCGCTCGTGCCCTGTAGCATAAACCTCTCCAAAAAAAAGGAAAGGAAAAGCGTCTCCTGCCGGGGAAGCCGGTCCTTGGCACGGTCGTCATCGATCCCGCTCGGTGTCCTCCAGGTGGCTCCCGTTTCTTACGTGAGGATCTCCATGAGCCCTGTCCTTCACACCCAGAACAAGGAGGTCCTGGCGGCCCTGCCTTTGGGGATGACGATTACTTTCACTGTCCACTTCCACGACAACTCCGGAGACATCTTCCATGCTCACAATTCGGCCCTCAACTTTGCCACTAACAGGTAGGGTCGGGGTGATGTCCGTGGCTCACCTGAAGGACGTCTGGGTTTAACTGAGGCGACTGGGTGGGTGATGACAGACAGAGGCCGGTGCCACTGGAAGAAGAGTTCTCATTACGGTTTCCAGGAGAGGGGCTCCCACCATGCCTCGCAGGCCGTAGGGATGGAGCTGTTCTGTCAGGAGGCTGAGGGAGTGAGGGGAGAGCCTGACCAGAGCCTTTGTTGCTACCCAGCAGGGAGATGATAGGTGGGGACGTTCCCTGCAGGGCGGGAAGCAGCACCCTATGTTGGGGTTCACATTGGAGGCTCTGCAATAAGACTTCCACATGCCCACAAAAGAGGGGCTGCAGGGCAAGCATTCGCTGTCCTGGCTGTTACTTCGGCCCTGTCCTCAAAGGGTTCAAGTCGCCGGTTAGAAAGTACATAAATGTTGATGAGAACAAGGCACACACCTTTGTAGTTAATTTTTTCCTTTAGGAGAGAGAGAAGGGAAGGGAGAGAAAGAGACATTATTGTTGGGTCTTGCCCTATCACAACCCTCCTGTCCCAACCTCCCAATGAGCTAAGATTACAGGCATGGGGAACCAGCAGTTAGCGTAATGGCTATGTCGCTGGACTCCCACGTAGTCGACCATGGTTCGCGTCCCGGACCTGGTGGCTTAATCTCATGCCGGGCGCGTGTGCGTGCATGCCCAAGATCCCGAGAGGAGAATGGAGGAGAAGGGATTGCGGCGTGGCCATCCCCCCTAGGGGTGATTTCTCGCTTTCTGTCTCTATGTCTCTCTCTGTCTGGCGAACGCACCCACCCTAAAACCCCCCCAAAAAAAAAAAAAGATTACAGGCATGTACGACCGTGACCTACATGGTCAGGTTGGCCTGGGAACTGAACCTAGGCCGCCCTTGAGGCCCTCTGCCTGGCCCACAGTGGTGCTGTGCGGTGTGGCACTGCAACTGGGTGCGCAGTGTGCCCTGAGCTGTGCGGCGCTGGTCACAGAGGAGCCCACGGCGCAGTGAGCGTGGGCCGCACACGGCTCCTTCCACTTGAAGCTCTGAGCTCCTCACGTAGCCCAGCTGTGAGGGCCACACAGTCGGGACGTGGGTTTGAAAACCGGGTCCTGCTGTCTCCAAGCGCAATTCTTTTAGGCTGGCTCTTTCAATCCAGCCTAGCCTCTCAACTGATAGGAGGAGAGGTGGTTTCCAGAGTGAGAACGTGAGCAGTAGGCAGCTGGGCCCGCCAGGGCTCCGAGGTTGCAGGAGCGGTGCCGTGGCTCCCTGTGGGCCCCAGAGCGGCAGCACGGCGTTCCCTGGGGCCTGTGAGAAGTGCACCTTCGTGGGGCCCTCCAGGCTACACTTTCACAGGTGAGTTTAGGGGTTGACAGCCACTACCCTAGGGGTAGAGACCAGCACAGAGGAAGACAGATGGGTGTGAGTCCAGGAGGAAGGAGCAGGCTCTGTGGTAGGGCTACAGCTGTGCTCCCTGAGGGGCCAGAAATTACAGGTAGGCACTAGCGACCATTCCACCCTCGGTTTACCAAGGCCCTGCAACAGCCAAGGACAGATGTCAGGGGTGGTGTACTGGAATTGGGCCGGGTTCTAGCCCAGCGCTTCAGGGCCTGCGGGCTTGGGCAGGGCAGTTTACCTCCCTAAGCCTTTGTTTCCCCACCTGTCATGTGAGGAACGGGGCCTAGTCCGCAGGGCATTGACCTGCCAGTCTGGGGTGTAGGCAGCCCTGGAGGAAACGGGGCCCGGGTCTTGCAGCCCGTCAGCTGTACCGCTGACGTCATCTGGCCCTTCTGTGGCAGAAGCAGCTCTCCAGATACTCAGGGCCCAGAGTCCGAGGTACGATAGAGGCAGGAGTGAAGCCACAGATCCTCACCCTTACCCCACGCAGCCCACGTTTGCCCCCACACGGCCCCTGCTGGTGCTGACCGAGCACACCAGTGTGGTTCTAGGTGCTTCCCCGGTGCGACTTCGTGTAGCATGCACAGTCGAGCCTGGGTCGCAGGCACGTCATCACCCTCATTTTACAGCGGAGGAGGTGGGCAGAGGCTGCGTACCTTGCTCTGGGCACACAGGGCAGCCTGTTCCCCACCCCCCGAGAGCATCCAAGCTCCTCTGAAAGGACTCTGGATCCCTCTCCTCTCTGGGCCTCAGTTTCCCCTCTGGACTATGGGGACGGTGAGGCCGGTGGTTCCCACTGAGGGCTGTGGGTTCCGTCTGGGGGCGATGAGGGAGGAAGTTAAATTTGTACCGTCCACAGTGTGGTCCCTGAGCAGCGTCTGGGACCTCAGTCCACTAAAGCCCTGCTCGGGAGACGGCTCAGCCGTCCTGTTCTCTGCCTAAGACCGAGTGACCCTCTTTTTCATGTGCCTAGAGACGACTTTGTGCAGATTGGGAAGGGCCTCACCAACAACACCTGCGTCGTCCGCACTGTCAGCGTCGGCCTGACGCTGCTCCGCGTGTGGGACGCCGAGCACCCCGGCCTCTCCGACTTCGTCCCCCTGCCCGTCCTGCACGCCATCGCCCCGGAGCTGCCCGGAACCGTCGTGGTGGGAGACGTCCTCTGTCTGACCACTGTCCTGACTGGCCTCGAGGGTAAGAGACGCCGACCGCAGGACGCCTCTGCAGTTCTCCCTGGAGAGGTCTCTGCACCCGTCACGACAGCCGTGCGGGGTACCTGGAGGGCGCTCTAGAGCAGATGGGGAACTGCGGCCCGGGGCCGCGTCCGGCCTGCTGCCTGGTTTTAGTAAACGCAGTTTCATGGGGGCCCAGCCACGCCCGCTTACTTACCCACCCTGGGGGGCTGTTGCTCCAGCCAGATGAGGAGAAGCGGCAGAGCCAGAACCCTGACCGCCTGGCCGATGGGAAGTTGCTAGCTCCTGCCCCAGCACAGCCAGCAACAGCTCTGGCCCTGTGGACACGCCCTGCTTCCGCCCTGGCCAGTACCCTGGCCTTCGGCAACGGAACAGGGAATGTGGCCAGTGCCCCCGAGGAACTCCCTTTGTCTTTTTAATCAGTTCCGGGGCTGGCAGCTCCATACAGCTCCAGGAGACCTGAGCCGAGAACGGATACTGGGTCAGTTCTGGGGTCCCCACGTCTCAGGCATTCCCATGCCGCCTGGACATCCGTGTTAACACGTGCAATGATTTGCTTGGTTTTCTGTTTGTTTTTTCAAATTGGTTCTTTTTTAAACTCATTAAATTCATTTTTATTTATTTATTTGCGGGGGAGAGGTTTTTTGCTATATGGCATGTGCACTCACCAGAAAGAGAGAAAGAGATAGAAAGCAAAAAATCACCCCCGGGGGCAGGGTGGCCACACCACAATCCCTTCTCCTCCATTTTCTTCTTGGGATCTTGGGCACACCCACACACTCACCCGGCATGAATTTAAGCCACGGGGTCCGGGACTCGTACCACAATCGACTACATGGGAGTCCAGCGACATAGCCATTATGCCAACTGCTGGTCCCATCATTAAATTCATTTTAAAAGGAAATTAAACCCTACCTTTAAAGAAAGACAAATAGAGCCTGCCATCCACAGACTGCAGTTTTTGACTTCCCTTGTGGGACTTACTGTACAATGCAGTTGGCTTTTAACTCAGACGCGCCGTCTCGTAGCAGCTCTGAGCCCGACTCCTGCTTTCTGTTTGCCAAAAGGAACTGATAAGGAGTGGTGGTGAGCAGGGCCTGCACCCAGAGCACCCAGGGCAGAGGTCAAGTCAGGCTTCATACGAGCATGGTCAGGAGGTTCCAGGAAGAAGCAGAGGGGTTGGAGCAGGCACTGGGGCCACAGCTGTGCCGAGGGCCGGCGCAGGGAGAGTGCAGCTGGCTCCGGCGGGCAGGAGCAGGGGTGTGAGGGGCTGGCCGGAGGCAGGTAGCTAGGGTTCATTCCCAGGGCTGATAACGTGAGCCACTTGGGCCATGAGGCAAGGGAGGAGGCTGCCACGACCCTCAGGTGAGCTGGGCTCTCCCTGGTTATCCAGACACGGGGAAGGTGGGTGACATCTCGAGCTTCCTCTTGCAGGCCTCCCGGGAACCTGGAGCTCCTCGGCCAGCAGCATCCTCCACATCGACCCCAAGATGGGCGTGGCCGTGGCCCGGGACGTGGGGCCTGTGACGATCTACTACGAGGTCGCTGGGTACCTGAGGACCTACAAAGAGGTGAGGCTCTCGGGCAGCCAGAGGCACACGGGGCTCAGTGTTTCTGGGAGTCGTGGCCGACCCCCAAGCAGTGGTGTCCTCTTGTATTCAGCTCGGATACCTTCTCTCCCAGAAAACACCTTCCGATTCTGTGGTCTTTTTCTCCAGAGTAGTGGAAGGAGGAAGGAAAGAAGAGAGAGGAGGGCACGTTTGCCAGGAGCTCACTCTGCAGTGGCCGTCCTCCCGCCTCGCAGTTAGCTGGGACATATGTAGGCCACCGTGCCGGCATGTCAGGTTGACCGAGGAACCCGCTCCCATGAGCTTCCGGCCTCCCAAGCAGTGGCCCTACCTGGCACCACCGTGGCTGGGCGGATTCTCTTTTCTTTCTGAATGAACCAAGGCCACCCATCCCCATCTGAGGGGTCAGGGTACCTGGGAGGCACGAGTCTGAGATGGGCCTCCTACTAACTTTGACATGGGGACAAGCTCCGTGTTCTTCCCAGACCTCTGTCTCGCCACGTTCAAAATGAAGTGATGACAGGAGCTGGGCTTGTGGGGCCTATTCCCTCTCCTGCGTGCTAAGACCCGGCAGCCACCTGTGGGGATTTCCTGGGAGTCACCGTTTGGGCAGGGCAGCGCAGTTCACCACCACCTGTATCTTTAAACCCCCTGGCCGGTCACCTTCAGAGTCTTTTCCTGGAGGTGAACAGAACATTCTCTTCCAGTGACCTCTAGCCGAGAGGGCGTCCATGAGTGAACAAAGTCTGGCCAAGTTCCAGAACGGGCTCAGCTCCAGAGCCAGCGGGTGCTTTGTCCCGCCCAGTGGTTTAACCCAAGGGCTTGCATCGTTAATGTAGCAATCTGCAAGTAGACGTGCCCTGGAGCTGACAACGCCTGCTCTCCCAGGAGACCACGAATGGTTGGGGAGAGGACAGCATGGACAAAGCTGGGGATTAAAGCAGAGTCTCCTTGGGGGCGTGGCACGTTGGGTGAGGAGGAAGCAGCGCTTAGTTTTGTGATCCGATCACTAGTTGCTTTGGGTAATTCCATGCCGTGTAGTAAGAGTGTGGGCTCTAGGGCCAGACCGACTGGGTTCAGTTCCACCAGGCCACCGAGAGGCTCTCTGACCTTGGACCTGTTATTTAACTTCCCTGGGCCTCGGTTTTCTTGCCTGCAAAATGGGAACGCTGTCGTGAAAATTGAGTGAGTAACAGGCGTGAAGCTCCTGGAATGGCTCTTAGCCCCCAGCAGTGCTCATAGGATCAGCTGCCCCGTGGTCATCCCAGGGTAGAGAGCTGGGTGCTCACACCAGACCTAGTGGGTTTTGTTTTTTAAGCAGAGAGTGATACAGACGAGCAATATCTTTTAGAACAGTTACCAAGCACGTGGCAGAGCTGGAGAGAGGGGACCAGCTGCAGGGCGGCTGGCTGGTGGACTGAAGGCGGGCCCTCAGCCAGGGCCATCTGGAAGTGGGGACTGAGGGCAGGAGGGCGTGGGGTGACTCCTGGGTCTGCTGGGAAGGCGGTGACGGCCTTGGATTTGAGAGGGGAGTGCAGCGCCGTGGGGCAGATGGGCAGCTGGAACACGGTACGGTGGAAGTGGGGAGCTCCCCCAGGTGGGACAGCCGGGGCGCTGCGGGCAGGTGTGTCTAGATCTCATGTGGAAGGAAGGCTGGAGCCAGAGCGAGAGTCTCCCGCACAGAGATGATGTCGGAAGTCCTGAGAGGGGTCTGGAATCCACAGGGTGCGTGCAGAGCTAAAGAGAGGCCAGGCAAAGGCTTCGAGCCCCCTCTCTGAGGCTGGAGGAGACTGGGGAGAAGACAGCAGTGTGGCCGTCCGGAGTAGAAGTCAGAGGACGATGGGGAACAAGACCAGGACTGGGCAGGCACCAGGTGGGGGTGGGGGCCCTCAGGCTACGGTCAGACCCTTGGGACAGCAGATTCCTCTGGGAGGTGGCAGTACTTTGGCAGCAGGAGCCCTCTGGTGAGTCTAGAGGCAGAGAGAGGCCCACCTGCTGGATCCTGAGTGGATCTGGGACATGCAGAGGCTTCGGAAGGCGTGCACCCCGTTCCTGCTCCCCAGGGCTCACGGTCTGAAATGCATGGGCCCTGCAGAGGCAGTGCCTTCACCTGCTCAGAGAAGAGCCTGTGGCCTTCCAGCTGGAAGGTGCTGGGCTCGCAGGGTGGTCACGGTAGGCCTTGCAGGGGAGGTCAGAGGAATGGTGAGAGCAGAGGGCACGTTAGAAGCTCTTTGTACGTGGACCAGCAGTTAGCATAATGGCTATGTCACTGGACTCCCATGTAGTTGACCGCGGTTCAAGTTCCGGACCCGGTTGCTTAAACTCACGCTGGGCGCGTGTGCATGTGTGCCCAAGATCCCGAGAGGAAAATGGAGGAGAATGGATTGCAGCATGGCCATCCCCCCTGGGGAGTGATTTCTCATTTTCTGTCTCTCTGTCTTTCTGGCGAGCACACACACCCTGTAGCAAAGACCTCTCCAAAAAAATAAAAAAGCTCGTCGTACCTCAGGGAGGCCTGCAGCCTGGAAGTATTTGGGGGTGACCTATGCCAGGGTAGGCTGAGGGAGACTGGCTGGGGATCTGGGCAGACTGGGTTCTAGGGGGCCTGCGCTACGGTGGGTGTGTGCGTTTGCATTTGGGTAGGGTTGATCTAAATAAATGACAATATAGTAAAATGGAGCCCTTCCTTTACTGCAAGAAGTTAACCATATTCAAGGAGCAGGGGGAGAGCGTGTCTATGGCGGGAGACAGACTGCACGGCCAGCCCTCCCTGGACCAGTGCTGAGGACGACCGCCCGCCCTTCCCTGTCTGTGCCGGGACGATCGGCGTGTCTGGTGCGAGAGCTCTGCACCACCTGTGGTCTGCCCCGGCTCCGCCGTGTTCTCACAGGGCGGTTCGGCTTTGAGCCTCACTCTTATCCCCCCTGGAATGGGTGCTCCCTGTGTCACAAGCTGCAGGGTGCGGCCATAAAAACGCCCCTCCGAGGCCTGCCCGCAGCCGGCGTTCATGCACTGCCTTGGCTCCTCCCCAGATCGTGGTTGGCGTCCCTCAGAGGATTGTGGCCCATCGCGCTCACCCTGCCCAAAGCAGCTTCCAGGAGGTGGCGGCCTCCAAAGTGGTCATTGCCGTGGGAGACAGGAGCTCTAACCTGAGAGGTGAGAACCCGGGGCGGGCCTGGAGGGCCCTGCCACGCTCTGGGAGCAGCGAGGTGGCTTCTGTGCCCTCCAATGGGGCCGACCTGCCTCCTCGTTCACAGTCACTCTGACTCCAGGGACAGCATGCAACCCCAGGTGTGCACTCCTGCTGCTTTCTAGAAATCCAGGGCCTCCACAGGCCAAGCCAGTGAAGAGAAAGAATTTTCATAAGAGAGCCCAGCTCCAAAAACATGGCTGTTTCTTTTTCCTTGGAGAGGTTTTTGCTATAGGGTGCGCTCACCAGAAAGAGAGAGACAGACAGAGATACAGAAAGGGAGAAATCACCCCCCAGGGGGGATGGCCACACCGCAATCCCTTCTCCTCCATTCTCCTCTCGGGATCTTGGGCATGCACGCACACACACACACACACACCCGGAGTGAGTTTAAGCCACCGGGTCCGGGACTCGGACCACGGTCGACTACATGGGAGTCCAGCACCATAGCCATTACGCCAGCTGCTGGTCCCAAACATGCCTGTTTCTGAGCTAGAAATGCCATTTCAGGGCCACCAGGCGGCACAGTGGTTAGGGCACTGGACTTTCACATGGCCAACTGCGGTTTGAGTCCAGGACCCTGTGGCTTGAAACCCGTGCCGGGTACACGTGCGTGTGTGTGCGTGCCCAGCATCCTGAGAGGAGATTAGAGAAGAGGGTGCCGTTTACACCCGGCCAGCCTCCATGGGGCCTGCTCTTATTCCCTTATCTTGGGCCTCAGGGGTGGACAGAGGCCTGGCCCAGGTGCCCTCAGCCCTTCCCCGTCTCTTCTCTAGGCGAGTGCTCCCCTGCCCAGACTGACACCATCGAGACCTTGCACCCGGAATCCCTCATCAGCTGCCAGCTCCGGTTCAAGCAAGAGCTCTTCGAATTCCCAGCCCGGGACGTGTTCTCCGCGGAGCCGGCGTTTGATGCTGCTCTGGGTAAACACAGGGGTTTGCGGTGAAGGTAGACATGTAGGGAGTCTCCGCCTTCCAGGCGTCGTGGGTCCTCACTGTGCAGTCTGTCTAGAGGGGCCCGGGGTTGCCAGGAGCCCAACCTGGGGACTGGCACCAGGGCCCGTGTGGCCTCCAGGACGGACTGGCATCCCTGAGCCAGACCAGCACAGAGCAGGCCCTCAGCTGGTGGTCCTGCTGCCCTTCCAGTCTCGGGACACTGTCCCAGGAGGCTGCGATGACCAAGAGAAGCCAGGAACGAGGCCAACTCCCCTAGAGCACCTGACAGGTGTGGGTGTGGAAGGGGCTCCCACCCAGGCACCCCCTGCCGGGCCCTGCTCCACAGCGTTCATCAGCTCCGATTCCTCTACTCTGGGTCGGGCGTGGAGGATACGACAGGAACCAAAATAGTGGCAATCCGTGCCTTCGTGGAAACGCCTGCTGGGTCTAGGGCCCCAGGCCACCCAGAGTTGGCCCTGGCTCAACCTGTGTCCCGGTGTTGGGTCGTGACAATTGCCATTTATTCACCCTCACTCTGGGCCAGGCCAGCTGGGTCCTAGATAGAGTGGCCCTGACAGGAACACTGCTCAGAGAAGGAGCTGGTCACTAGAGGACCCTGGAGACACTCAGAGGTAGTGCTGGTCTCAGAGCATGTCCTCACTGGGCTGGGGGCCCTGAAAAGGG